AAAAAAAAAAAAAAAAAAAAAAAAAAAAAAAAAATGTCGAGAAGAACATGAAGTGATCTAATGAAGCTAATTTTAATTAACACTTGATCTTTAAGGTTACGACCATTCGCAGTCAGTAAATAATACTTCTTGAAAAATCGAAAAAGGAGTTTGTAGAATTGTCTGAATGTTGGTGAGGTTTTCAGCGGTAAACGTTTTCGACCAATGTAACGTAACTTGTTTTCATAATGAAAAATGGCGATTGGCGTAAATGTAAAAGTTGGTTGACGTCTGAAGTTTTTAAAAAAAGAGTTGGACTGCAATGAAAAAATGCATTAAAATTTTCAAGGATATTTCCGGCAGTTTCCAGAATTATCGCAGTATTTCGTTATCAAGTGATAAAGATGTTAACAGGTAATCTCTATCACATGATGACGGGGTACAGGCGACAGTGCTTCTTACTAATGTATTTGTCCAAGCATTTCATTGTAGTTTACTATTCTGCAATGCATTTGTTTGGCACCTTAGTTTCATACTAATAGCTTTTTTCGGTAGCACTCTTGTTATCGTTTTGGTTCCCTCCTCAATGTTGTTGTTTTGACGCTGGTGGAGCTGTTTTGCGATTTGGACGAGGCAGACTTCTCTTTTGATTTGTCAGGCGGAAATGGCATTGTTGGTCATTAAGCTGACTCATTAAAAATTTATAGATGTCGGCTGTAGAAAAAAGAACAACTTGTAAATGCAGACGTTTCTTGTTTTTTGGTCATCAGTGTCTGTAGCTGTAAATTTATTTTCTCAGGTTTTTCAAAAGATTTTATACTATACAAATTACATAATTTTGTTGGCTGGATCTAGTTGTTTTCTTGGTTGGACAATTCCTTTTTAGGGTTATCATTTTTGAGTATATGAAATGTGGCATCATTGTCATTAGATTTTTATTGTTATTTCCTTGTGATAACTTCCTCGGTTCTCGCATTACACGTAATTTGCTTTAGCGGACAACGGCTTTTGCAAAAATGGAGCGAAACTGTTGCTTATTCATGAGCACAATCTGCAGGAGCGTCTTATGGTCTTGCTCAATGTTGATCCTGCCGTCGAAGTTTGCAAACAGTCGGATACAGCAACGGTTTATTACTACTGACTTTCAAACATAGTTTGCACGTTGAAGATTGCGGTTCCGTTTTGAAAATTTGTCGAGAGTTCCTGTTATCAGTGCTTTTCAGGATAATTGGATTGTTCCATGCAACGTAGTAGGATTGAAGGATGGAGATACAGGAAAAAAGAAGCAGCAAAAGAGGCCGATTCGTTTTTTAATGCATCCAGAAACGCTTCGCTTAGCCAGTTACGATAAGAATCTTTCAGCGAGAATTGGAGAAACTGCCAAGGAGGTTGTTGGCCTTTATTTGTTTCCTATATTTTCTCCGCTTTAAAGTCATAGTTCAGTGAGCTTTAGCAAATTGTTCAGCGTCTTTTAAGCGTACTGAGTGGCTTCGTTTAGTTTTCCGTTTACTTTTGTGTTTTTTGAAAATAATGATAGAAAAAGCTTTTTCCAGACGATTTCTCAGTTAACTGGCAAAGAATGGCATATCCTTTCGCTTCCAAAAGGCGATGGTTGCTCGCGTATAACGGGAGTGAAGGAACTGCTTATCAACTCGGACAGTCAGATCCATTATTTGCCTGACCGGTAAAACTCTCAGTTTTCTGGAAAACTTTCCGTTACTTTGAGCTTTGTGGAACTTTTTGAATGTTGTGTGCATTTGCAAATTTAAAAACGCAGTAGGAAATTTCAAAAATTATTTAAACAAATTGAGCGTACAAGATTTTTTAGGTTTTTTAGTATTGATTGAGTGAAGAATGGTAAGATTTTTATAGTTTGATTTTTCAAAAAACAGTTTTCACTTTTCCCCGGTGAGAAGGCACTTTATTTCTTGATGCACCTTTAGCGCCCCCAAGATGAGGTTTTCCAGCTACATTTTATGCGAATACTTTTTTAAGGGTTGTGGTCTGCTTCTTTTTTAAAACAAATACAGAAAGTAAGCCGTACATACCCATCACGACGTCGCAGCTGTCTTTACAAGTAAATAAAATTGAAGAGACTGTAGCCAACGAAACAAAAGAATTACGCGGTCAAAAAATTATTCTCTGGTGGAAGCAAAAAAACACATTGGAAAACTTGTTGGAACTTCAGTTCGTTGATTCTCGCTTTGAGAAGTGGCTTAGCATCAAGAATAAAGGTTAAGTAAAAGAATTTAATTGGTCATTTTTAATTTTGAAGATTTGCTTTAGTTAATTTTTTAAACTGTCAAAAGTATTTTTCTGATTGGCGCCGCTTCACGAGTGCATTCATATTTAGACCACAAAATTCACTCTGATATTTCTGGTATTTATCTTGACCTATGTCGAGCCAATGTCGATTCTATTGGCGTTCCAGTCACATTCTGTGAGCATATGAAGGGTCATACTTTTGATTCCAATGGCTCTCCTTTTCAATTAGTACGTTCTTAGTTGAAATGTTATGTTTGTTTTTAAAATTGGAAGGTTATATCTGTCTTAGGTCTCTTGAATTTTGAAATGCACTTATCTGACTGAATCTGGTTACTTTTGCTAATGTTGAAATGTTAGAAACGTGTATTGGAGGAGCCGTTTCAATGGAGCAGGTTTTTGAGTGATTTTCAGGAAAATCAACGGTCCATTGTTATCTTCGTCTCTTCTTAAGAAGGGCTCACGAAACGGTTCATTTCAACTGAATATTGGTTGTATGAATATGGATTCAAGGGATTTTAAAGATTATGTTCATTTGTTCGTGCTTTCAAATTTTTTATTTAAGGCGTTAAACAGTCCTCAAGCAGTTGCTGACCAGCACCGCAAAAGTCTGGATTTGTCTATTTCTGACTTCTTGGAACAAGAAAAAATTACAACTTTTGGACGAAAGAAAGGCTCGAAAAATTGTACATTTCAATCATTCAAAGTAATTCGTCGAGATAAGGAAGAAACATTAATTCAGTTTACGGTGATTTTTAATGCTTTTTTTCCATTTTTTTTTTTTTTTTATTAAATTGAACGTTAAAATTGTGAAATATGAGTATTGTTCGACGCATAAGTTCTTCTGGCTTCTCCCACAGTTGGTGATTATTCAGAGTAGTAATGCTGCTGACAGCATTAAAAGGAAACAAGATTCTGGTTCTGCACGTGATACTTTGAAGACACGATCAAACCCTCTTAAAGTTCTTGTCTGTAACGATGAAGATAATGCTGAAAGCTTACCGGAAACAATTCTAGCCAGGTCAGCTTTTTGACGGGGCCTTCTCTCATAGTTTACAGCCTAACCATTAATAATATAATTGAGTATTTATATTACTATTTAACTATGTATTGTTATGTTTGTAGCGTTTTTTAGCAGTCCAGCGGACAGTGTTGACTCTGGCGTATCTTGTTTGGGTTCTCTGCTAAGTTCACCGTCTTCTTCTCCAAACCTCTCACCTGTTCATGCTCCGAAAGAGGTTTTTTTCCAGAACGGTCAGTTTTCTAAATTATTTTTCACTCAAAGAAACACAACTAAATTATTAACGAATAAGTTTGTAGGTGTAGGATTTTGAAGCTTGCAGTGTAATTTATGGTCGTTGTGCTTCGACTGTCAAAAAAAGCTATGACTTGGATGTTTTTTTTTCAAGAAACACGATAATTTATTTCATAGCAGGATTGAAAATTTTGGAATTAATATTTTTTTTCTCAGCGTTAACTGTTTGAAAGAGATGAGGTTTGTTCGGCGTAAAGTTCATTAACTGTAACATTGTTCTTTGTTGAATAAATTGGATACGGAGTTTTTTTGTTCTGATTAAGCTGATTAAATTTTTCATCTTAATTTTACTGGTTGCAGTAGTCGTAAAGCTTTTACGTTTCGCTAGTTTGCGTTTTATTATCTATTATTAGTTTTTTTTATTTTACTTAAGTGT